AAAGATATATATATATATAGAGAGAGAGAGAGAGAGAGAGAGAGAAATCTGCAGTTGAGCAGTTTAGTTCTCTTTTTTTCTCGTTGTCAGCACACACTACACACATGGCATCCCACACCTTTAATTTGTCTTTGTCCACAACTACAGGAGGGGTTTCCTCATCCAAGATCTGCAGAGCTTTGTCCACATTGATCATCTGCTGCTGCAGCACAGCGTTTTTCAGAGCCCGAGTCATTCGCCTCACGTTCCGCTCTGAGACACCAAACAGACATGCACACACAGGAAAACACACAAAATGTTTACACGATTGTAACAGATGATAGCCTGCTGGTATTTTCACTCTGAGGCCCAAGGACTGTGGTCTAGAAGCACTATACTAGTAATCTGCTTTCCCTGCTGGACATGACGTGTGCTTTTTCCCCCTTTCAGCAACATTTTCAACTAAACATCTGGTGTCACATTAAATGTGAGAAACCAGTCTTAGTGTGTTGACATCCAACCTGTGCCTGTGTCCTCCTCTCCTCTGGCAGCTGTGCAGGCATCTGTGGTTGAGGATTCTTCCACCTCCATTGGTTCAGCAGTGATGTTCTGCTCTGCCTCCTCTTCTGTAACTACCTTGATGTTTTCTTCCTGGCCTACACAGCAACTCGGCTCAGTCTGAGTTTTTGACAAGTTTAGAGTTTGAGCATCTACTGCGCGGGGATGCTGGTTATCTGCTTCAGCCTCAATGTAGCTGTGCTTGTTAGTGTTCACTGAAAGAGGTTTGTGGTTCTCTTCTACTTCCTGTCCTAACAGCTTGTTTTCCTCTAAGTGATGTGCAACAGCATCGTCCACCTTCTCTTGTTCATTCTGCGTCTCGCCGTGATTTTCCAGTTTTGCTTTTTCACATGAGTTGACCTCATCTTCAGGATCTGCTTTCTTCTCCACTCTCCCCTCCTCACTGCTTTGCATTTTCTCAGAAAGTCCAAAACCATCTATGTGAGTTTCTGCAGGTTCTGACTCTGCATCAGCTATTGTATGATCCTCCTCTGCTCCATCGCCCTCATCACGTTCTTCTCCTGCTTTCTCAACTTCATCCTCATCATCTCCATCCTCTTCCTCCTCATCAGACCCAAGCTGATCATCATTTTTGGACACGTGAGGAGAAATGGACTTCTTCTTTGCATAGTAGCCAGTGGACCATCGGCTCTTCCGACGTTTCTTCTTCTGGGCTGGGGGAAAAAAATGTTGTAATCCATAAACTGAGGGATTATTTGCAACTGATTTATGTGTATGATTATTTGCTACTAATTTAAGTGTATGATCTTTACCTGTATTTTTGGGCGTTGTAAAAGCAGAGGAACATGGATTATTAGTAGCTGGAACTGTGGATCCATCCAGCTGCTGTGAGCTGCTGTCGGTGATTTTAGCCTCAGCAGGAGATTTGGACTGTTTGGGAAGGACGTGGTAGAAGGAGGGAGTAAATCGTGCAGTGGAACAACCTGAGGTAGTCAAAAATAGAAATATGTACACTTTTACTTGTTTAAAACTGCAAATGAACTGCTCCTTAAGGAAACCTGAGACAAACAGAGTTTGTTATATCACATTAAAACTAAAACATTTCAGATTACTCAAGGTTTTTTATTTTATTTTTTATAGCCATTATTGATTGACCCCAGATTGTTTATTTTATAACTGAGCTAAACCAAACAGTCTTTTTAATTCCATTGGACCAGGACAAATGTCAATAATCATGCACACACACATAGAGACACAAACTGACCTCTTGCGCTGCGTGACTCCTTGGTCTCCTCACAAAGCTTCTCAAAATCTTCATCCAGTTCATCTTTGATGATAGCATGGACTGTGTCTTTCAGTGCACATGCTCTGTGCCGTATCTGACGATCTGAGAAAAAACAAACATTTACACTTCAATCAGCCTATGTGTGAGCACTTTGTATTTCACTGATTCTTCTCTTATCCATGGTGTATGTGCATGTGTGTGTCTGTTGTCCACTGTGTGTACCTGAGGGATCCCTGTCTGGGTTGTATTCGAGGGCATTCTGCCAGATGAGATCCACGTCCTGAAGGAACTCTTTGACTGTTCTGTACTGATGGAGGTCTATCCTGGAGAGGACTGTTGACAGGTCCATAGGCTTCTTGATCACTTCAGCATAATCTGGAACCTGAAACACAGGACAGATGCTGAGTGAAGGAAAGAGATGAAACCAAACATTTCAGAGGATCTCAGAGGACAAAATCGGTTGATATGAGCGCTGCAGTAAATTGCACATTAAACTTGTCATTTGTGGGGATAGGTTTGCTGCCCCCCAGTGGCAGTATCTAAATAATACTTTAGCTAGGCAAATCTTTAACCTTCAGTCATTGCTCCCCTCCTGAAATATTCTCTACTGTAGTAATCCAGTGCTGTATAAGGCATTGTTGGAGTACAAGGTAATAATAATAGCACTACTACCTCCTCTAAATCCACTGGCTTTGTAAAAGCCTTGAAGCGCTTATCTTGGGACAGACGGTTGGTGACATCACGTAAAAAGAGGCGAAGCTCTCTGAGGGTGTCTTCCTCCTGCTCCTCCAATCTCTGAGTCTCCTCTTGTGTTAGCTGACGTGGAGCTGGTGGAGGGGCGACTGGCAGCACTTCCAATGCATGAAGCACTGAGACAAGTGAAGAGTTGACAGATTTAATTCAATTATGTTTTGCAAGAGACAAAATGTATATCTTGGAAGCATCTGCTTTTAGCTTCCATCTAGGATAAGATGAACATTGCCGCACTGTGCGACCATATGAACAGATGTTGCACACTTAAACTACAAGACTGCTGCTTTGAGCCAATTTTAGTCATGAGCTGGGAGATATGTTAGTATGAATGTCTAGGCTTACCAGCTTTCTTTTTTGAGACAGGGGCCTTAGCAGCCTGGTTGAGGATTAGATCCTCAAAGAAGTCTCTTCTTTCCCTACTGGTGGGGACCTGAACTTGGAAAACCTCTCCGTACTCAAGCCGAAACAGCTCCTGTACCTGAGATGAAGAAGGTGAAAGGTGAGACTACCGCAGATGAATGCAGCTCTAAATTTTAGCGGGCCCTTTTGCATTCAGTAAAAACAGAGACACTGATTTATTACACCTTGTAAGAACATTTGACAAAGCAGATAATAACTGTTTATCCTCTGGCACATTTGC